CAACGCCCACGCAAAGTCTATTCTCCGAATCAACGATACTCTCTTATCATCGTAACCAACGTCACTGCACGTAAAACAAGGAACCATGGAATTATAATTCAGATGCAAAACAATCTCTGAAGAAGATTAGAGAGGTACAAAGACAAAAACTTACGAAGGAAAATGCTCCGCACCGTTCTCCTCGATAGATTCCAATCGCTTAATGTGAAGCCTGTCGAGAGAGATTTCCATGTCGCTGTCCATTCCGTACAGATAATTTTTCCCGGGAAAATCCCAAAATTTTCTTAGGTCGACGATGAAACAACCGGCCAAAACACTTCGCCGTTCTAAAATCGGGGATTTTTAGATCTAATGATCTCAGGTCGGAGCTTTTCCGGATCTTTAGTTCGGGTCCGGCCTAAGTAAAAGTAAAGCCCATAAAAAGCCCATTATAGTCTACTGTACCTGTAAAACCCTTTTCATTTTTGGGTTTGTGTTTATCAATCGAGATTCTCTTCGTAGTCGCCTTCGAATTCGCAGGTATCTTTGTTGTTCTTCGCTTGCTTGATTGGTTCTTATTGATCTGGATCTATCTAGGGTTTGTTCTCAGTTCTATCTCTGTCGTATTCGGACCAGTTATAGATCGATGCTTTAGATTTGATTTACCCTCGCTTTCATCGTCCGATTAACTATTTTTGGAACTATTGTGTTGGTCGAAAAGTAGAAATGAGATGTTTAGAGGATAATAGTTTTGAATCTAAAAGCTGATTCTCTTTTCATTCATCTAATGGGTTTTGTGCACTGTTTAATGGTGTTGTGTGAAAATTTGCAGAGTGAGAAGAAGCAATGAAGGTGAGATCATCTGTGAAGAAGATGTGTGAGTTTTGTAAGACGGTGAAACGCCGTGGACGTGTCTATGTTATATGTTCTTCCAATCCTAAGCACAAGCAAAGGCAAGGATACAGCTCCTTTGCTTATGAAGGAATAAGCCCCGCTCCGTTGTAAGTCGATTTTCGTATGCTCAAATTGTTTATCGTTTTTTAGTGGATTAGGTGTTTCTTTTGGTTTTCGAGTGATAAGTCCTACTTGTTCATGGTTCTGTATAAAGAAACCAAAGAACCAAAGCTTCCGCTTCGAATATGACAGTTGTGAATTACTTACTTCTTAAATCTTGGCCTATTCAATGGAATCTGAATTGCTACTACTGGAAACTGAATGTTTGAATGGTTACTGAAATTGCAATTTTGGTTTCGAAAATGTATTCGAGTTTTACTCTTGTCTAATCTCACAAAAGAACTGCTGAAACCAACCTCTTGTGTTCCTTGGCAGAGTTGGAGGTAACAAGAAACTTACTTTAAAGTATTTTGTGATTGTAAAACAGGTTTTCTGAGCCAGTTGGTACTCAGGAGGTAGCGAGGCTACCTGGTCAGGGCGTATCAGCCGGTCTGGCATCGCTTCTACACCAAAGACCTCAGCCAGCAGCGGTTTTCGGATGGAGGGCGGGTCTAGCTTCCATTCTCTTCAAACAAGGCAATTAGCATTTCCACCCTTTGATCTCTGTTTCTGCCAATGTTTTGGTAAGGTGAAACGTTATTGTATATCTCAACTGTTTTTACACTTTGGTCAGTTGTAGGCTCGTTATCGACCCGCATTAGATGATCTGAAACAAAGAGATATATGACACACTGGCACTGGAGTATTTGCTTTTAAAGATTTTTCCATGGAACATCAGAGCTCTGTTTTAAGCTAGAAAGTATTTTGCTTAAGATGATAGCTCATAAAACCAGATATTTTTCGATTTAGAAAACTCTTTTGCAGTCTCAGAATTTATACCTATTCTACAATTCTTTGGGAACTCTTCTTGTTAAAGCTCTGGGATCTATTTTTAAATGTCAACTTGAGTACATCTTTCATCTCTCAAAATAAATTATTTATGCAACTCTTTTGGTGATAAAAATTTGAGTAGTTCTGTAAAGAAATTACGGTATTTGACCATACATACATTAGAGGGAGAATTTAAAATCAATTAATGCAAACTAATTAGACGTTTTGAACATTTTGCTGGATCATCACAACAATTTTAGACCTTGGTATATCTCTAAGGGTGTGATTTGTGAGATGTTAAGAGTGATTAACACTAGAGTAATTGAATTCAATACTATTAAGCCCGCAAATTGTAACTCTAATCAATACCAAGAATCGTTCGTGTACATAATTTACTTGTAAACTATTCGCTCTTAATTTAGGGTTTTTTTTTCCTTCTAAATTTGGAATCTGGTGGGTCAAATTGAACATGAATACAATCATTGTGGAGAAAATTATATGAAACGAGGCTGCACAAAACACACCCACTAAATGCGAATCAAATACAAAGAAGTAAGGAGACGAAAAAGACCACCTCCACGACAACGACCTCTTCGCCTTCTCCACCGTTGAGCACTAGTCTTGTGGATCCTACTGATGAGGTCACTGGACCCTACATTTCAATCTTCTTTGGACACTTCTACTTTTGGACATAAACAAACTACTAGCACTTCTTTATTATTTTGTATTTTTATTTATTTTCTCTACGATCAAAATCGTTAACAGCTTGGTTCCAAAAAAAATCACCTCATCAATAATAATAATTGACTCACTTTTTTTTGTAGTTTCGACTTTTCTGCTGCTATTTTAACCAATTGGTATCGAGCTAGTGAATGATAATTGTGTTTCTTTCATAACCAAAAAAAGAAAGAAAAAACAAATGGATAATAACTCGTTTTCACTTGTATTTGTATATGTGATTGGAACTGGAACATGATAATTTTTCAAAGGTTCAGGATCGCCAGCCAATGAAAATTAACATGATTGTAATAAGCTCATCTGTTAGTTGGATTGGACCGTATGATCTTAAAGGTCATGGTTTAGAGTTGTTCCATTTATCGTCTGATCAATGTTGATTGAATTTTTGATTCATATGGTGGGTGTCTTTTTTAGACCAAAAAACAAAAAAATGGTGGGTGTCTTCTCGCAATTTTCGTTTCAGAATCAGAACTTTAGAAAATTGTTTATTTTCGGATTTTTAATTTGATAATCTTATTATATAAAGAAGAATGCGCACGATGAAAGTTTGGCACATAAGCAAAATTATAATTCACCAGATCGCAACACATGTAATTGTTAATTTGGATTGTGACATTTGTCAATAATAACAAAATTTTAAAAACTAAAATAAGGAATATATCTTAAAGAAGGATTATAGATTAATTAACAAAAAGAAAAAACCATCATACTAAAATATGTAATATTTCTAAATTGTTATATTACAAAATTCATCCTTTCCAATTCAAATTATTAAAATAGTTAAAGACAAAAGAAGATGTCGTATTATAGGTTTCATTTTGCTAATATAACAACGTATATGAGGCAATTT